TCGCACTATTCTCATGCAATACATTTCTCTTATTAGAACCAACTAGACAGCAGCCTTAATATTCTGTCAAAATTGAATAAGTATGAACGTATAGAGAACATTATACTGACTGTTACAGTGTTATTCAGTTGCTCATCAATAAATGCAATCAATGTAGGTACGTCTCGTGCGCCACGGAACTTAGTGCCTTTACTTTCTCCAACTTTGAAGAACTTTAAGCTGCAACATTCAAATACGTGTTAAATTCTTCACATTCGAGCTGAATAAATCAGTGTGATAACTGCTGACGTACGTAGGGTACTCAGTAATATCCTGATCAGAACATACGGGTCTGTGAGTAATACAGTCAACCTTTCCAATCTGAACACGGCTGTCTCCATTTTTATTCAACGTTTCAGCTAGTTGCTCCCAAATAGGTGCAAGCCTCATGGAATGTCCACACCTAGGATAAAATAAAGAAAATATAAACTTCAGATTCAATGCTACATACAATTATGCGAACTAAGTATTAGACTAATACCAGTAAATCCAAAAGAATCAATAAAAATACTCACCAAGGGACATAGAACATAACAAAATGATTTTTCTTAACAATTTCCTTAGGGAACGTTTCTTCAGTATATTGTACGATATGCGCATCTTTCTCCTGTGCAAATGCAATTTGCGCGAGCACAAGAAACAATACACAAATGCCTTTCTCGAGCATGATGTGATAGTATTTTATTTTTAGGGATATAAGTGCTTCAAACCGTCTCTTCTGATTGCAGTGTGAAATAAAAATATGATTTTAACGAGGTTTACGTAGTCACGACACAAAGAAGTGCCGTAAAAATGAGAATCATGCAAGATATGTATATTGAGTATAAGTCGGTATAGAAATTTAACCAGTATTTAAAGAAATCTACCTAACAAATAAAATCTTCCTAGCGGCGTAATGGTGACATTTTATTCAATGACTTTTCAGCTGGCTCATTCAAGACTGTCAATCTCTTATAAGACAGCTCTTTATATACTACTCGTCATCCACCTGGAAGAAATTAGTTTGTTTAAGATGTTTTTCTAACTCATTCTAATCATAAAAATATGGTGAAAAAAAATCTAAATTCTAAAAATCTAAATTTTCTATTATTTTGACATTGGTACACGTGTGTTCCTCGTGTAAGAAACAAGGTGGTTCTATTGGAGGGTACACTAAATATTAGTTTGATAAACAATACGAAAAAATAAAATTGAAGTAATGGCAGTGCTCATCGTCATTCAACAGGGGAGATTCTTCTTAATTCATTTTGAATGGTAATTTCAAACTATAGACATTGGCTTAAATAAAATGTAGGTTTTCATTTGTATCGATATAGGGAATACAGAAATACTATTACTTTTGCAAAATTATAGAGGAAAATAATGGCGCAAAATTGTCTTTGCGTCAGGTGGTCATCCCACTATTCTCGTGCATTACTGTCAGTAGTACCGAAATGATCTGTAGAAAATCAATCAATTAACGGATTCATTTATATTTTGCTCTTATATTCTGCAATCTGTGATATTTTTGCGTAAACCACATATTTTATGCAGGAAATAATTATTATTTGTTCCTTATTGGTTTAGCGTAAAATAAATTGTGCACTTACCTAACTGAGGAGTAATTTCTGCTACGATCTAATTTCAGCTAATCGACACAGTGGGCCTATCAATGTTATTTCTACTGAAATTTAACATGCTCTTAATTTCAATGAAACTGAAAGAACGGCTATCGTTTTTAATTATCTAGAAAATTACTTGATTGGCTATATCATATCACATATGTTTAAAACCTCAAAAGTATGTTCCTAATCTACTAATATTCCATTCAAAGAAATTTATTTGTTCAATATATAATACATATTGTAAGAAGATATGTATTATTAAAGCATTTTACAATTTTCGTCATCAACTTGATACAGGTGGTACTTATATTTAATGGTATTATTAGTCATTATCATGAGGAACAATACACTTTTTGTCAAAAAAAGACTGTCTGCTAATGAACTATCAGTTTGAAATGAATTAATCAGATTTTTTGTTATTTACGTAGTGGATGTACGTATGTAATGTAAAATAGCTATAAATATCTCTGCTGTAAATTGAATTGACTTAATGTATGAATGTAGTACGGTATTTAGATAAATCTATCAATCCATTTGTTGTATCAGGTATGGTTATTTACTTGTCACCCATCTGGAAAAAATGAGTTTGTTTAAGATCTTCTCTTAGTTCATTCTAATTATAAAAATATGGTGTATATCGTGTCAGAGACGCGAATCATTTACACCTAAATTCTCTTTCATTTTCCATTATTTTGACATTGGTACACGTGTGCTCCTCGTATAAGAAACAAGGGGGCTCAATTGGAACGTATACTGAATATTAGTTTGATAAACAATACGAAAAAATAAAATTGAAGTAATGGCAGTGCTCATCGTCATTCAACAGGGGAGATTCTTCTTAATTCATTTTGAATGGTAATTTCAAACTATAGACATTGGCTTAAATAAAATGTAGGTTTTCATTTGTATCGATATAGGGAATACAGAAATACTATTACTTTTGCAAAATTATAGAGGAAAATAATGGCGCAAAATTGTCTTTGCGTCAGGTGGTCATCCCACTATTCTCGTGCATTACTGTCAGTAGTACCGAAATGATCTGTAGAAAATCAATCAATTAACGGATTCATTTATATTTTGCTCTTATATTCCGCAATCTGTGATATTTTTGCGTAAACCTTATATTTTACACAGGAAATACTTATTATTTGTTTCTTATTGGTTTAGGGTTATAAGAAATGTACATGTACTTAACTGAGGAATACTTTTTGCTATGACCTAATTTAAGCTAATCGAAACAGTGGGCCTATCTATGTTATTTCTACTGGAATTTTACTTGCTCATTCATCAGTTGCTCGTCAATAAATGCAATCGTGGTGGCTAGTTCTTGTTTACCATGGTACGTAATGCGTTTTCTTTCTCCATCTATAAATAACTTGAAGCTGCAACATTCAAATATGTGTTAAATTTTTCACATTTGAGCTGAACAAACCCGTGTGATAACTGCAAACGTACGTAGGGAAATAGGTAATATGCTCACGAATGCATATAGATTCGTGAGTAGTACAGTCAATACTTTTCAACTTCAGATGATCGTGATTATATCTGTTATAATATTTATGTAGGTGCTTCCAATAAAATCGAGTAGCATCGTTTAAACTAGAATAAAATAAAGAAAATATGAACTTTTGATTCAATGCTACATACAATTATGCGAAGTAAGTATAAGACTAATACGAGTAAATCCAAAAGAATTAATATAAATACTTGCTTGGAGTTATGGTACATAGAATAACAAGGATGCGATTTATCTCCCTCAGAGAATGATTCTTCAGTATATTGTACGATACGCGCATCTTCCTCCTGTGCAAATGCAATTTGCGCGGGCACAAGAAACAATAAATAAACGCCTTTCCTGATCATGATGTGATGCTATTTTATTTTTAGGGATTTAAGTGCTTCAAACCTTCTCTTCTGACTGCAGTCTAAAATAAATATATGAATTTAACGTCAGTCTCTTATAAGACAGCTCTTTATATACTACTCGTCATCCACCTGGAAGAAATTAGTTTGTTTAAGATAT